GGAGTGTGTCAGGGAGTGTCATCAGTGGCGCACGAGATGCGGTGATGATGTAAATGACGTTGTTGCATTTTAATGTTTTGTTAGTCTAGCCCAGGAGATGCGCCGCTGCTGTGTTATGCATTCAAAATATTAGAGAAATGTAGTAGCTCAATGCGGAGAAGATCTTAATTAGGTGAAAACCGAAACCAAGCCATTCACACAGAAAGCATATTCAGCGCATTTTTAGACGGACAACTATGACTGCTGAACTCGCGTCTCACACAAGAGATGTAGCCATGCAAAGTTAAAAGAGTTTAAACTTTTAGATAACACGTCGCAAATTTGTGGAGGTTTATTCCTTTTCACTGCGTCTCATATGTTTTTAAATGCAATCTGTGTGATGGGCGATTCGGCTCTTTGTATTAAGCAATGCATAAATACATGATGCTGTTTTGTTCATAATTGTTTATGCAATTTACGAAATTATATTTGATTTATATGAGTTAATTTAGACGTAATGCAGGTTTTTATAGACATTTATTTCCTTACCTTGACAATTTAAATGTGCTGCATTATTTTGCTCATTGCGCACTCCTGTGGCCTCGGGAGACAAGCCAAAAGTTTCCTTAAGACCTATTTAATCTGCATATAAAACATTAGAAATTAGTTATTTGTTTAATTTTTATTGTGTGTTTGACTGATAAAACAAACAAAAAATTGTTGTTTGTCTCAATAAATTGGGTTAATTTAAAAATACAGTGGTTAAATTGAAAAAATAAATTCTATTGCTCTTTGTTTTAAAAAAGGTTATAAAAAATGTCAATAATTATCGATACCGAATGATATGAAACATTATATCGTTGATACATTTTTTTAGCTATATCGCCCAGTCCTAAAATTAGTCTACTTAGCCAATAATATGTGATGATGACGAACCCCTGAGTCATCTTCAAGATGGAGCTAATTTCATCTTCAGTCATCATCGCTTCACCCTCCTCACCTCATGTTTGCTCTACACAGTGACTATGTAAAGGTCAAGTCTCTGCTATGTGTTCCCATCTCTTTTAGTGCCCGGACTCAGCCTGTAAGCAGGACTTATTGGCATACCTCCAGAGAATCGCCCTTTACTGCCACCAGCTCAACATCTGCAGCAAGGTCAAGGCTGAGGTTCAGAACCTGGGAGGAGAACTCATTGTTTCAGGGGTAAGGCGATTTTAGACGTACATATTTTGATCATGTTTGTTTTATGCACTTAAAAAGTTTGATTTCAGACTGACTAAACTAATAATGTTGTCTTTTTAAAATGTCATGTAAATGAATTAAAGAACAGTCATACTACTATGTTTCATTGATTTCTATTCATACAATCGTAAATATGGGAACACTGCAACACAAGCTCCAAAGTACTGACCTGTGAATTAGTATCATGTGAAGACTTGTGACCAATAGAAGATCAATACACACAGCTTGCAAAGCTAAATTAAAATAGCACATGCTTTGAAGCTGTATATTCACAGCATTGTAATAATATTATAATAATATTCACTGTATTGCCGTTTTGTTCAGCATATCAGCTGAATCAGCATATTAGCATAGTATCAGCAAATCAGCATATTAGAATGATTTCTGAAGGATAATGTGAAATGTATTTTAAATTATAATAATATTCACTTTATTCATGTTGTTTTATATATACATGCATTATGAGCTGGGGGGTGAAAACTTTTTGAATTTGAAGATCAGGGTAAATTGAACTTATTCTGTCTTCTGGGAAACAAGTAAGTATCTTCTGTAGCTTCTGAAGGGCAGTACTAAATCAAAAAAAAAAATGATATTTAGGCAAAAGAAGAAAAATTTACACATCTCCATTCTGTTCAAAAAATGTCATTTACTTTCATTTACTTACTACAAAATTTCATACATTCACTTAATGTATGTTTTTTCCTTCTGGAGCGTCAGTGAGCGTTTGAACCTTCTGTAATAGTTGCATATGAGTCCCTCAGTTGTCCTCCCTCAGTGTGCATGCAAACTATCTTTTGGATTATATGTAAACATATTTTATGTGAAATATATTATTCAGGTCAGTACTAAATAAACAATAACATGCATTTTGTATGATCCTTTAAAATAATTAAAGGGGTCATATGATGTTTTTTTAAAGATCATTATTTTGTGTATTTGGTGTAACAGAATATGTTGACATGCTTTAATGTTCAAAAAACACATTATTTTTCAAATACTGTACATTATTGTAGGTCCTCTATGCCCCGCCTCTCTCAAACGCTTCGTTTTCTACAAAGCCCCCTCCTT